ATCGATGTTGGTCAAATTTGCCCCAATGAAAAGACATCGATGACATTGACCATGAGTAAAATTAACATTAGCAAGATTCGCTCGAGAAAAATCAATATTGTTCATTTTGATTCGGCTCATATTGGAGTTGATCAAACTGGCATTGACAAATGATGAACCATTAAAATGGCTTTCATAGAGAATACTGTCAGTTAAATCAGCACCGTCAAAGATCGATCTCTGATTGTTTTTTGATAAAATAGTTAAGTCTGATTCTAAATGGAACTTAGCATAGCTCATATCAGTTCCAACTAGAGACGCACTAGTAAAGTCGCATCCAGTACATTGAAATTCTCTCAGTTGTGTCGAATTCATCGTTGCAGAAGTAAAATCAACATATGCATAAGAAGCTTTATTAAATGAAGCTTTGAGAAGATATGTATGAGAGAACGATGCTTCACTTTTGCCATTATCACAATGCGTTCTACGAATGATTGTTGAACTCAGATCGACTGCATTCATTAAAGCACGTTGAAAAAAACTTCCAGATAAGTCAATATTCCGAAATGAAGAACCAGTGAGAAAACTCTGAGCTGCATTGACACATAAGAATGAAGTTCGAGAAAGTCCCAACAAGATATGTATATTCAAATCTAATAGAATCAAATTAGCAGAAGATAAATCAATAACTGCTGTATAAACATCACCATGTGTGATCAGTTTATTTTCGTAAAACGAACGAATTAAATAAGATTTTCGTTTCGGATCTAATTGTTCGAGAACCATTAATGTATTTAATTGTAAAACAGAACGAGCCGTAGTTCCATAGGGTAGATTGTAACCATGCTTATCGAGAAGCTTTGTTAAAAAATTCAGATAGTTATTCAAGATCGTATCTTTTTCGCGGTTGTCGGCTATCAACAAATCGTTCTGTCGCGTTTTATTGGCTAGTTCAAAATCTTGTCGACGATTTTCTTCTGCTATTGAACTTTCGTTGTTCGTTTGTACGATAGTATAAACGGTAATAGCAACTGGTACGGTAAAAGCAACAATCAGTTGAATCCATTCGAAAAATGACACCCGTTTTCGTCTTTTTTTTGTCGTAGACTCAAGTCGAAGTGCATTCGAACGAAATCTCCATTTGACCATAATGATTTGTAACAAGATTCGTCGCAATAATCAAACTGAGTGACTAGGATTCAATGAAGAAATACGAGCCTCTTCAACAATTGGTATCGATTACTTGTGACGCAGTTAATCGAACAAGTATGATTAAGTAAATATTGTCATGTGTCAAACTTGTTTTACCTTCAACCACCATCGATGACATTCTGTCAAGGAACCAAATAGATTTTGTAATGTGATCTTAATTGATTTAGGATCAAGTGCACACATGTATCGCTTAATATTGAAACTAACAATGTCAGTTAGTTCATTTTCATTCAAAACGACAATGTCAGTCGACTGTAAACAAGCTTGTATAATGTCGATCTTATGTCTCACTCTTGTATCACACGACATAAGTGTTCCAACAATCGGTGGGATACTTTTCAGAAACCAGTCGCCTTTTTGAAGTCATTTTACAAAAGAGGAAGATCCCTTTACTGCCGCTATTAACTTCGGAACAATCACGAGCATTAATTGTCAAATGAAACTCAGCAGGCAATCAATTCTTTATGGTTCTAAGCACTATCATACAGAGAGCTGTGTGCATCGTAAAGTTTTCACAAACGACAATAGTGCAGATGGATGGTGTGGGTGATGATGAACAGTAGGAGTCAAACCCACATCCATATCCATACCCATACCTCCCACACCCACACCCACGCCCTGAAATCGATACAGAAATTATATTTGACTCATTTTTTTATTTTATTTCAGCTAAAATTTATTCGGCTCAAAATCTAATTTTGTAGCATGAAGTTAGTTCTACAGAATCCCTCATCTAATTACGCATTCACATAATAGAAGACGGAATGAAAATTTATTGCATCATAAATCAAGACTTGAAAGCATCAATTTTGTCGGAAAATGTTGTTGTGCCTAGAAAATAACGCTTAGGAAAACAGAACTTTCGACTTTTTGGTTTGAGTCCAAAACTAGTTTTTAGAAAACTGAAGGTTCTAAAAACATACTGAGTTCGAAATTTATCTGGAATCAAAACTTTAGACAAGTTGTAAACGACAAATATATCGAGTTTGCTCTGTACAAACATCAGTTAATGCAAGTTTAAGTCAACAATAGATAAACGAATACTTAGTGTCAAGACTTTGGCACTCTAGGTTTTCATGATAATTTCGGAGGTCATCGTAGAATTCTACAGGATTGTATGAATTGTTCATTTTAATTTCCATGTAGACTTCAATAAAGTTTGCTTTGAATTGCTTTAAAAGTCATTCAGTAGAAGTAACTTTTAGTTTACTCATCGCCACGCCTATGAAGCTAAACAAGAGTTCTCATTTCGTTCGTTTTTCTCATGATTTAATCATATAATCCGATTTATAATTTCTCTGGGAAGCGTTAATAAAAAAATAGTAAGTAATTTCCGAGGGAAATCCAAAGTACGGCTAAATCTTATACAAGCTCATACTTTAGTTATAACGTTTTCTTTCCTATGCTTCCAAATCTAATACATCCAAATGAGTACGTCAGAATCATTACGTCGAAATCTATACGTACATCTAATACGCTCGGATCTCTCGTATATATGAAACTTAGAATTTGAACTCAATAACTCAAGAATCGAAAAACCTTCGCCGCGAAACCAATCTTTTATTTCTGCGTCGCGGCGTGGGGCCGCGTAGCGCCCCATGAAGAGTCGCAACCCATGCTTGTCTCTGTGTACACAGTGAAGTCTATATTGGTTTTATGTTCTGACATAATTGAATAGCATCTATAGAATGTGCGTATAGATTTGGACGTATTGGTGTAGACGTACTAAATTTAGACGTATAAAAGTTGGACGTATAGATTGGGAGGTACAGCTTTGGACGTATAAGATTTAAACGTATAACAAGGACGTAGACATATATGGAACAGAAGAAGTTTCGACATTTTTTTACCGTTTCCCATCGAAACGATAAACCGGATAGACTCGATTTAATATATCACTAAAGTTAAAAGAAGAAAGAAAACAAGTAGAAAATACGGTCACTACTATAATCTGCTCTATATTGTGCAGGGAATTAATCACTTAAATATTTAGTTTCGCAAAAAGCCTGATCGGATATCAAAAAGTTCGTTCTGAAAGAGGAAACAACTCTCCTGCATCAGATCTTTTCGTTGTATTGTCGACTAGGATAGACACTTGTCTGTATTTTAGGTACGATGTCATATATCATAGGCATGCTATTTATCTGAAAGATCGTTTACAATATAATGTCAATAAACCTTATTACATACTTTTCAGTAGAACTGCAATGGACACTAGAAAAATATTGCGACATTCATAAGTTGAACAAAACAAACTAAAAATATAATATATTTGAAAATTTGACTTGATGATAAACGTGTAATCATCTGTGAGTAAATTTCAATTTGACTGAGCTAAATAATCTTTCTACTGAATCACTAATCGCTGCTATAGTATTTTCTTTTCTGCCTACACTGATATTAATGAGATATCACGATGAGTTTCATTGGTAGGCCAGAAGTTCATGGGCACACACAATCAATTAGGGGACTTGTGTTTTCTACAGGTCGTTCTTTCTGTAGTGTATGCTTCTTCTATAATTATCTATATTCAAATGAAATCATCAGTGAATTGTAAAATACTTGTCTCTTCACTTTGTTCGATTCCTTTTACTTCTTAAATGAGCAGAAATTTTCTGAATGTTTTTGTTGAGTTATGAGAAATTCTCATTGGAAATATTTTCTTGTCTTGACAAAATGTTCACTTGTCTACTTGAATGGAAGCTATTTGACTATTCATCTTGTAATAAATGAATTGGACAATTTACTTTTCTTTTTGTGAAGCATTTATTTGGTGTAGGGTGCGATTGATTGCCATTGTATTGGTGTGTGTTGTGGACGTAGAGCAAGAAAAACGGAAGCACCCATACCCTTTCTTTTAAGCTCTTGAAATGCCACTTCATACTTTGCTTACATCGTGTCAAGTTGTAAATAAAATGAATGATTTGTTTTTAGTTTTTTTTCTTTTGGATTAAAATAGAATAATGATTAATAGTTATTAGAGATGAATAAAAATAAGATAATTTGAATTGTTTTTTTTTTTTTACACACAACGGATATAAAATTTTAATTCTATCAATGGTATGGTTTGTATTTGTTTAAAATTTTTCAAATGATTTTTATTTAAGAATATAAAATAAAAAGTTTTTATTATTACTATTATGAATATTATTAGAAAGATTTTCTATTAATAACATGGCAAGTAGTCTTATTTCATTTTGTATTAATATATAAAAGGAAAAAATGAAATATTCATTTTATTTATTATTTTAATTCAAGGTTCGAATAAATTTATCCATTCTTCCTGATGCAATCGATCTTATATTTAACAATGGTAATCAGAACGAGTTAAAACAGCATAATCATATGATAATAACACATAAAGCTGATGATGTTATTGTTAACATAATAAATGACGATGATACAGATAAAATGTCGACCGATATATTACAGTCATTGATAAATAAAAGAAAAATAGTAAACAATGGGACTTTGAATGTCGAACAAAAAAGAATCAAGATAAATGTGCGAAACGATTATGTATAATGAAAATGCTCATCATTAACAAGACTACAAAATAAAAATTATCGAAAAACAAAATGATTTTTTTCTTAAATTAATTTTGTCTTGTTTAACTTCCGTATTTAGTCTCGCTGATATTGTGTGCCTTATTGATAGTACTCTTTCTGTTTAATTTATATACAATATAAAGGAAATATACTAACATATTACATGAAAAATTTTAATATTCGCATTATTATGATTAAAAAGTAAAAGTGAAAATTAAAAAAATTGTCTATTTTGATGAGTCAACTTGTTTGATAATAAGTTTATTCATCATCAAATAGATGATATTCATGAGATTTCTTCATAGTTTGTGTACTTGGTATCGACCCATCATCGCAAACAGCGCGCATACAACTCATAAAACGAAGATAAGTATATATGGGTAAGATTCTATTACAACCATGCAGTAGTTCAAATTTTAATGAACGATACATTAATATGGAGTTTGTCTTACACATTGTGTAAAGATTAAATAATTCTTCACCCTTAAATCCGTCACAAAGTATTGACATTCCTTGAAGATTGTGTTTCATTAAAAAAATTCGAACTTTTTCTTCGCTCCAGTTGGAAACATTTTCTATTTTACTTTTTATATTGGGTGCATTTTGACGATTCAATACATTTTCTTGAGCATCATCGTTACATTCACTAGCTGCAGCTGCTTCTATTGCCATTCTAAAATAATTATTTGAAATTCGTTAGAAAAGAAAATCTTATCTAATTTATCTAACTTAGCCATTTCTTTAGCTTCTTTACGCTTTTTCTTTTGTAATCGTATTTCATTATCAAGTAATTGAATTGCTTTATCGAACTCATGTTGTCCAAAATCGATATACATTCGTGTACCTATTATAAATCCTAGCCATCCATCAGCTACAAAATCTTTTTTCATTTTAATAGGAATTATATGCTTTTTACGATTAAATGCATATTCAGCTTCGGATTGACAGTTCACACTTCGTTTATATGTGTCAGACATACATACCAGAATAAATTCAGCACTTTCAACTGCATTTGCCTATACAAGAAAAATGTGAATAGTATTTGCTAATTTTATATAGTTGATCAATAAAATACCATTGCTTCGATCGTTGATCCGTGCATTTCTTCTTGATCAAGCCAAACTTTGTAACCAAGATTTTGAGTTAATTGTTTAAAGATACGATGAGCTAAATCCATATCAGTCCATGAATAAGATATCATACAATCATATTTTTCTTTTTCTTCTTCCTCTTCTTCTTCTGTGCCAGTTTCTTGAGCTTTTTGTTTTTTCTTTTCTTTCTCAGCAGCTAACTCTTGTAAAAACTTTTCTTCCTTTTCTACTTTCCAAATGAGTCCTTCAGCTGCATTTTTTAATGTATCATTTTCATTTTTCTTTGATTTTTCAAATAATTGATTGACACGAGTCATCAATTTTTGATCTTTTTGTAGTTTGTTCAATGCTTCAGGATTGTTAAATGTACATGACCAAAGTATTCTGAGAGCATCGTGTGTTTGTTTATCAGATAATTTATCTGGATCGCTGTCACGAATAAAAGATATGACTTTGTCCAGGCCACCTTGTTTAATGAATTCATTTTTAATCTGGTCATGTTGCATCAGTGCTAGAAAATAAAAGAAAACTTTATAGTCGATAATCTATTTTCAAGCAATAAACACTAATTAGAAGTTCATTAACAATATTTTATTTCTCGTGAAATATCATACCTTTGAGACTTGACAATGTATTGTCAAGATTAGAATTGTATTCGTTTAGATTAATTTGTTTGAGTTGATAAATAAAAGCAGAAGTTATTTCACTTGGATTATTTTTAATTTCTTGTTCATCCATAATTTCTGCAAGAATATCAAATGCTATTTTTCGATTTTCATCCATTTCGATAGCGGTATATTTATTCAAGACAAATGTTAAATGACGTTTTTTCATTATTGCACGAATTTCTGGATTTTTCGATAAATTGTAGAATGTTTTTAAACTAATACTAATTAGTTCGTCATCACCATTATTTGGACTAGCTGATGATAGATTTTCTAAAATTTTAACTAACCGATCGATAATATTTTGTGCATGTTGATTTAAAGAAGAAAGCTTTTGAATGTTGAGAAGTTGTTCACATCGTTCCAAGATATAAGAAAGACCAGCAGCTGTAATGGGTAGTGATTGATCCAGAGCATGTTCAAATCGTATCAAAAATTCATCATAAGCATTATTAATTAATTTAGTATTTTTTGATGTGTTGTCCAGACCTTGTGAAGAAGTTAGCGCGACAAAAGGTACATATTCCCAACAAGTGTATAGTAGAAAACGATCGATATCATTAAGTGATTCACCCAGTAGTAGTTGACGCAGTGATGCTATATAATCATATGAATCAATACAATTCAATATCACTAAATTACATAAGATCTTACTAATGACTTATGAATTATATAAGAACTTACAAGTTTCAATCAAACATGCATTCTGCTCCATACTATAAAAGAATGGACATCCTTTCAACAATTTTATTGTTAACAAACCCAACGCACATATATTTGGATCATCATTCATCCCTTTTTTATGTAGATTATTGTCGAGAATTTGTTCACGTATTAAACTGAGAATGGTTTTCGTTGCTAATAGATGTGTTATTCTTTGTCGATCTTCATCAGAATTAGTTGAAGATACTTCTTCAGCAGCGTGAACAAAGACAAGTATAATCTTAAGAAATATATCTGTTTCTTGAATATTTAGGCGCATTTCAAATGCCTGCCAATTATGTAACAAATCAATAATCATTTGACGTAGAAAATCCATAAGTTCATGAGAAAGAACTTTCGGATCAAGTAATTTATATGGTAAAATAGATAGAACAGCAGTGGTTATTTCTTCTACAGCATCTAGAAACATTTTTACTGTTGTTACACCAGTTTTTTCCATTCGTTCAAATTGAACGAGAAATTCATCGAACATAGTGCAGATATCATTTGCAGTAAGATAGCTATTTAACAAATCTTTTTGAATAGCAGACAAATTAGATGTATTGACGATTACTGGTGGTGATAGTTCAGTGTCATATTTTGTTGCCATAATTGTGAAGTTGTAATTAAGAATTTAAAAGTTTATAGAAGACAGTCTACAATAAAAAAAATGCATAATTATACGTATCAGTCGAATTTGCTCATTGAATAAAGTCTCGAATGTCTACGTATATTGGTTCGAAATAAAGAGAGAAAAATATGCTTGAGCAATAAAGAGGAATATTCGTTATATGCGTATAATTTTCTCGTATTTTCAATTAATTTTGTGTGACCCTGTTACTCTTGTTGATTCAGTATTCATTTCATGTAAAAGAGCAGAACCCAAATAACAGCACAGATATAAATCGTTGTAGTTACTTGTTTATATGTGGATTTATTTTTGTTTGATTGTTTGTTAATTCCTCTATGTACTATTGCTTCACATACTTACTTTGACCAATGAATAATCAATCTGAATATTAAAAAAAAAAAAATTTTCAATGTCGGATAGTTAACAGTTCTGGATATTTTACTGATGATTGTTATTATGGTTATGCCTTTTCTTCAGTGACATGCTTATTGATCGTTCTAATCAAGAAACACATTATATTCGTTTTGAATTATTAAACTGAATATAGTTCTGGCTATTTACATGAAAAATACTAAATTTTTCATGGTTTGAATAACGTATGTTTTAAGTCAAAATAATGTTTTTTTTTATAATGACGGATCGATATCTCTTGATTTTGTTTGTATGTATCGAAATTATGAAAGTATATTGCATGGCGCTATTTACTATTACAATCTTTGGACGAAAGACAAAATATGAATATCACATTATAATTTACTTTCAAAATAATCCTCAAGTTAAATATAAAATTTTCTCTATAAATCAAGAAAACAGAAGATTTTTATTGTTTTCTTTTCTCTTCCTTGAATTCGAATGAATTAATACTGAACAGTGACAAAGTCGGGTGTGGATTTTTAGTGGAGCGCGGGTGTGAATGTAGATTATTCCTTAGATCACACCAGCACCCTTTGAGAAGTAAAAATTTTAGCTGTGAGAATCAGTTCTTTTGTATAAATGCAAAGAAGCAATCGTCGTTTGTTTTTATTTACGAGTACTTTATTTAATTATTCAAATGCGAGTTGAAAATTATATCAGAAATCGCATGTTTTCACTATGAAAAGGAGGCAAAATCGATGGCGTACGAAAATCTTTCATTGTTCGAAATATTACAAATGCAACTAGGAAAAATCCTTGCTTTTCGAACTAACAATTCAAAATATTCCTGTGAGATCTCAATTGTACTTGTAATTTCTTTTTACTTATATCTCTATGTGTCAATAACCATTTCTACACAATAACGTAATTTTATATATAGGATGATAAGAAGAGTTAAAAAATTCATAATAGAGGATCTATAGAACCACATGAAAGAAAGAAAAGCCTTCAATATATATGATAGAAAAGAAAAATCTCTGGTTCCTGACTAGCAGTAAGAGAACGGAAGACAGAAGGTTACTAATAGAAGTTTATAGAAATAAATTGATCACTGAAGTATTACTTTTCCAGTGAATTCTCCTATTCGTAGAATATTGACAAAGAAAAAATATAAAATATCATGAGTTTCTTATTTTCAACTTGAACATTTTGTTTATTTATTCTAAGCTCAAGTAAAATAACAGTATGAGTTTTTTCGTACATAAATGTGAATAGTAAAGTTCGTATAGAGTTACATTCTAACTGAATATTTCACCTGACTCTTATTTAATAGAAATCAACAATTGAAACTTGTAAAATTTGTCGACAATTAAATTTGATTTTATAATATTGTTGACGTCAAATTTCAAAAATAATCTTAGTTCAACATACAAGACTTGGTCGTAAACTCGAAATTCGTATCCTATTAATTCTCTTTGAACTAATAACGAATTTGTGCGAATTCTTCAACATTGAGAAAGAAACGAAAATCTACATGAGTTGTCTTCATGTATCTTTCTATTGTATGTTTGGATTTGATTATTATTTATTAACAAATTTTTATGCGATTATCAATATAGGGCAATGTGAAGATTTACATGTAGAAGATAATCTCATTAGATTGTTTAATTTATTATCTTTAAGCGCATCACCCAAATTATGTACTCCATTGTTTTCAATTTGATTTTGACTTAAATAAAAATGGATTAAAACTTGTATGAAAAAAGTAAAAAGATTAGTAAGGAATTACATTTCAACGAAATTCCATCTTTTTAACTATACGATATAACTCAATCGATTTTCCAGATAAAATATTGCTCCATGGGTGATCATATATCTGCTCAGTAATTTTAAGTATATGACAAGAAGAATTCTTATTTATACAAACGTCACATAATATGTTCTTAAATACTTATTAGCTAAGAGTTTTCACATTGTAGATTGTTTCCAATTAAATCTTCTACTGATCAAATAGACCGATAAATTGAAAATATTAGTCTTCTTCTACTTGTTCTTACGGGTGCATGTGATAAGTTTATATGCGAAAGGTTTATAAAGTTTGCTTTACTGAAGTAGATAAAGAACCTATTGTATTCAAAAACAAAATTTCATGGGTTCTCAATCGAATTCAATACCAAAACCTTGTTCTCATTCTTTGATCCTCTCACTAATTTTTAATTTAAACACGATCGAATGTTAAATGAATAGAAGACATTCAAATTAATTTAACTTTCACGATATTTCAAATGAATTGACCGAATCTCAATGTGCATTTCAAATTTAATGACATAAATTTGACTTAATAATACAGCTAATATATGTGAAGATGAAATATTACAGATAGTTCAGTAGATATTTTCTTATTCATACGATATTACACAGTAATTAACATTGAAACATTAATACTTTAGTCTT